GTATCTAACAAAGCGTGTAAAATTTAGAAATGATTTCTTCATTGTATAATATTTTTTCAATAGTGGCGAATATTGAAAATTTATTTTGTGGTAAAAATTTGCACTAATTTTTTAGAATTTCCAAAAAGAAAATGATAAAGAAATTTTGTAAAAAATGATGTAGCAGTGAAGAAGAAACCTGTTTCGAAGCTTACAAGAAATCAGATAGTTGCGATGATGGACAGCAGAAAAGAAAAATAAATACTATTCTATCGACAGCTTTTCTGATTCTGATTTCGATAAGTGATTCAATATTGCATTATGATAATGACTATAATGAAGATACTTTCGAGATTTTGCTGGAATTAGTCATTGAGAACGGAGAAAAAGTTAATGATTCCGAAAACAATACAATTTAAGTTATTAAATAAAATAAATGTTATTGGAGAAACTGTAATTAAATTTGGTAAGAAATCATTTTTGTATTATTTTAATTAAAAATTAAATATTTTTTTTACACTATGACGTCCAGTGTGTCCACGTTCGTGTTACGCGTAAATAATTGTCTTCCTAGAACCGTGGAAAAACCGCCGTTGATAAGCGAAATTATGTAAATCAGTTCGACCGGCACGATTTGAAAGAATTAGATTAGATATTTTTTAATTTTTTTTAACACTTACAAATATTCTTCATAAGTAGTCAAATAAGCGTCACCCAAGTACGGATGACTGTGCTTACTCAGAACTTTTACCGTCGCTCATACGTCACACCCAACAAAATTTCTTCGCTACAAATTTTCCACTATTATCTCTACTAAAAAATGCAGCATCTACGAACTATGTAGACGGACATTACTACTGTTGGACAATTATCCTAGGGAAGAAGGGATCATTTCTTCCTATATAAACCGTCCATACAGTTGCATCGCATTACATTCAATGTTACCGGAATCATTTCCTTGACCCCTTCCCTTTCTTTGGAATCCCTACTTCGCGTCATCGCGGATAACAATTAATCGTATGATAACTGTTTTTTTAATGTTAATATAAACATATGCATGCACGGCAAATGCACAATTGACACGCCAATTAGTTACAACACGACAAAAGAAACAACAACGTTTTGTGGAGCTTTTGTTTTTACACTAATATATACATCTTTTGAATTATTCTGGTTCTCACAGTATATATATACACTTGACACTTGAATTATATATATATGTTACCGTCCAAGCGGGAAATCAGACAATATTAGTAAATCCTCGTCATTACTATGAATATGAAGAGCCTTCAGACGAGGTCGGAAATGGAAAGATTCTATGGATCATAATACTTTGATATTCTATAGAATATCAAATTACTATTTAAACAACGTTGAAAACAATACATCCTCGAGCACAGGATGGTGCTTTTTTTTTATATAGAATTTCAATGTATTAACATTCCTTTATATTTATATATCGTATATCTATTGTTTAATCATTGTTTTTAATATCATAATCTGAATATTTTAAAGAGCCTAAATTGATATATTAAATCTGATTCCGATAATATACCCGATATAATTTTTGTATGGTCAATGAAATTATACTTCATGACATTAGATTTAATGATGGTGATTTGGAACAATGTTGACAATATTGGAATTATTTTCGCTACATTGGATGTCAATTTGTGTTTCGACAACAATTTTTTCTTCTGTTGTAATTAAAGACAGATCAGAGAAACAATGTTTACCATGCTGGAATAATCTTTCATTTTAACCTCAGTTTTATATTCTTGATCACCATCATTTGAAATATTTCATGATGCATTTAATATCGAAACGCGTTCAAACATAAACTTTAATTTAATATAATGTTTTAATT